GAGACACACTGGCTCCCAGGGTACACTCTCAGCCCCCAGGGGAGCGTGAAAATTGAAATCCCTTAAGTGACAAATGCGTGGAGGAATCCCGAGAAAACTAATTGGTTTTCCCCCCACCCCTCCTTTAATGCTTGTTGGCTTTCACTCCGCACTGGTAATTGCTGCTCTGCACCTATTAAAAGGCCGTCTCATGCTTCACACGGGCTTGATTGTGAATTAATTTTGCATACGTATCTATTCTGGGAAGCATGGGAATTTATTCAGGATGCTGAATGCCAGACGGGCTTTCCAGAGGCGTGAGGTGCAGGGAGTGCTGCCGGGAGTGACTTGGGGGGAACGACAGCAGCTTCTTCGAGTAAATGCCTAAAAACAAGGGTGCAGAGTCAAATCAAATGGGATTTATTCTCACAACTAGTTTGGGACAAGAGAAATGGGGTTCAGATGGGATATACAGAAGCACACACGTGCCTTTGATTTTCACTGAGAAATAAATAGGTATCCTGCCTGCTCGTGGTCTCCTGGAAGTCCCACCAGGCATCCATCTCCATGTCTGTGCCTGTCCCCGCCTCTCTAAATCTACCTGTAGGCTTTCTGTAAATGCCAGATTTCTCCAGAGGCATGCTGTTGGGTTGGGATTTCCGTGGTTTTGAAACCAGGTTTCCTCTTTCTATTACTGAGAAATATCAAAGGGGAAGAGCTTTTGGGATTTTCCATTTGCCTTTTACTCTCATGCCACTTTCTTTCCTCTTTGCCTTTCTATCAGCTTCACACATTGAAAATAAACCAGCTGGTTTTCTGTCATTCCTCTCAAGTACAGCACTCTGGTGCAGGATGCCGTGATGTTTGGGCTTGTGCACAATACAGGGAGTTGCAATTTCCTTTTAAAAACAAACTGGCCATTGTTATTTCTAGGGAATTTCTTTACTTTTGTGGAAGCCTTTGATGCTTAACTGCATCAAGCACTAGAGTCAGCCTTCCTTAGCTGGGCTTTTGTGACTCATTTGGTGTAACGAATGACCAATGTGATAGGAGAGGTTGGTCCCAGTTCCTGGAATGTTCACAGCATGGCAGGAATGCTGGATATCAAGATCCTCCTGTTTATGAGTTTGTCCCTGAAGCCTGCATCCTGTGCAGAGGTTCAGTTCTGGTCCATCCTGGTGTGCTCAAAATGATGTGCTTGCAGGGTGGCAGAGGCTGTTTAGACCTTAAGGAATGGATGCACTTCCCGGTGCAGGAGTCGGTCTCTCCCTGGGACAGCAGTAGAGCAGTTGGGAACAGGATGCATCCGGCACAGGAATTGCAGTGTATTTGCCCTGCAGTTGCTCTGTTCCTGCCAAGACTGTTACTGGAAAACAGTATTTTCCCAGTAATGGTTGCTAAGCAGTGAGGTCTCATGATGGGCTTCATCTGCTCAGCTGGAGCTGCAGGAACAATGAAGCTCCAGTGCAAAATGAAGCAGGGAAGCATCAGTGGCTGTGCTGGGGCTTCCTTGTGTGCCGGAGGTACGGAGACACCAGGGGGAGGTTTCTCCTGCACCCCTTGCAGGGCTCCCCCACTCCTTGGGCTGGCACAGGCTGCTGTGGGGCTCCAGAAGCTCCCTGTGCCTGTGGGTATGGCTCTCTGTTATCCATGCAGTGGGATGGTTGAGGTGCTTGGCTGCTGTTGCCGGAGGATCTGGGATCATAGCACAGTTTCCACTCATGTCAGCCAGACTGGAGGAGCAGTAGGATGAGGCTGTCATTTAAAGATCTGCGTAGGATCACCCTGTCTGGGCTGGTTTGATGTCAGGGGATTCTTTGCTTTGTGCTTCTGCTGCAGATCTCCCAAGGGGAATTTGTTCAAAGCCACTTTGCTGGTTTCTGCTGGAGGACCCTTAACGTGACTGGGGAAGGTGTCTGGGGACACTGGTGGGTGGACATGTATGAGCTGGCCCTGGGAGAGGAGGGGAGGGTTTCACACTATTTCTGGTACTGTGTAAATGCCCACAACATCTGGCTGGTTACCTTTGACCAGAGCATTCCGTGCACAGCAGCTCCCATGTGCCATTCTGGTTGGTTTGACCTGGTTCTCTGGAGCATCTCTTCTTTTGTCCAACCTCTTCTGCTGCTGCCCAGCCCAGTGTCTCTTCTTGGAGACACTGCACTTGGAAGGACTCTACACTTGGGGTTTTGTTCTCCTTTGCAGTCTGCCTGTGTGGTTTGTGACTTTCTCCAGAAGGATTGTCCCTCTGGCATCTTTCTGGCTGCCTGGTGGGAGGTCATTGGGCTCTGGGGACCAGCAGAGCAGACTGAGCCCCTGCCAGAAGTGTGTGCTCTGGGGTAGCAACCTCTCTCTCTCTCCCTTGATGTTACCATGAAGTCCGGGGGAGTCCTGCAGACCTGGGCACCAGCAGATGATGGGACTCCTACACCTCCACACCACCTCTGCAGAGATTCCCGTTCCCATGGGACAGATTAACTGCTGAGCAGAATGATGAATGGGTTCCTGGGAATGGTAGCCCTTGTAGACTCTGGCATTTGAGTGTGAAACCTGCGTCAGGATGTTGGTACAGCCACTTAGGCTCGTTGGAAGCTGCAATCCCAGCTGGCCAAGCCCAGCTTGTTACTGGAAAGCTGTTGTTGGAAAGCCAAGCGCTGCTGACCAGTTGTTGCAGGCAGGTGAGTAACCTGACCTGGGGCTGAAGCACAGGTTTGAATCACCTTTCCTGGAACCAGAGCTGTGGGTTCTGCCCGTGCTGGGGCCAGGTTTTGTTGCTGGTGACAGCACTGTGAAATGTGGGACCGTCCTCCATGGGAATGCACATTGTATTGAGTCACCAAGGCATCATGTACAGACAGGGACAGAGACTGACTGTGCCAGGGTGTTTCCTGGCCTGTGCCTCTACCTCTCTGCCACAGAAAGAGTTGCCAAAATGCTGTCAGCCAGAAGCTGGGAGATGGCCCTGGATATTTTTCCTTGTCCACGTGCTTTGGCTGTAACCTCCCCTCTCTCCTCCCCTGCAAAGCCGTTCCTGGGGCCACTGCAGTGCTGCCCTGTTGTCCTTGCTGCTGCTCGTCTCAGCCCCATGGCGGTTGAAAAATCTTGTCTAATTTCTAGTTAAAAATTTATGGTGTGTTTATCCCAATCTGGTCTTGTTCCAGGCTTGCCCATTAGTTCCCGTTCCCGCAGCCTGTAAGGGCTGGTTTTCTCACCCTTGTGTTGAGAAAATGACGGTCTGGAACCTGCTGTCCCACACTCTGCCCCGGTGTGCTGGGAAGGTGCCCAGCTCTGACTGTGGGCAGCACGAAGGGTCTGTGTGTGTGTGTGTGAGACCCCTCTAACCCCGCTGTCTCGGCCAGCTCTGGCTCCTGTGTGAGTGAGTCAGCCCAGCGCTGGCCCGGCGCAGAGCGGGGCTGCCAAGCCCAGCTTACCTAATGCTGCAGGAATGCCTGGCTCAGCGGGGCTCCTCGGCTCTGCTCCGAAACCCAGGCCTGCTGCAAGCCGGGTTTGTGGCCTCAGGCAGTGACTGGGTTTGGGAAAGCCGAGAAAGAGCTGCACCGTCCCTGAGCTATGGCAAGAGACTCCCCAAAGTGGGACCTGCTGCAGCCTGCAGTGGGAAACCACATAAAAATACCTGCCTGGAGCAGGGTCTGTTCGCCCTATTTATGTCATCCCTGCTGGGCCCAGCATGAAGGGCAGATGGAAGGTCATAAACTCCTGTTTGTTTGAGGGCAATGGGTACTTTTAATTGGCATTTTACAAACTCCTCCGTTGGGTACACGGGTAGTCCCAGTGACTCCCCTTGCTGGGTGTGAATCGATGAACCCACCAAACTGCTTCTCTGCTGCTGCCCTTTCCCGGGGAGAGACACCCTGGATGTTTCCCTCAGTCACTGAGCCCGGTCTCTGCAGCTGGTGAGGGTGAGGTGATGGCTCACGGGCCTGGCCCCAGGTTTACTCTTGTTTGTGAGAGCAATAACATCTGTGTGATAGGTGTTTGTAAGTGATACACGTGTTGCTCCGTGTTGAGACCCTCATCCTACTTCTGCCATTGGTGCAAATTCTACAGGACAATGCTCTTCATAGCAAACCTGTCTCATTCTGTGCCATACTCCCTTTAGCAAAGCTCTGGTTTGGATTCTCAGGCTCTCTGGTGGGAAAGGCCACGCTCACCTGGGTGAAACTTTTCATGCAGAATTGTCCTACAAACAAAGCTATCATCAACAGTCACTGTCTTTTAGTGCCACACTGCATTTTCAGTGCCATAAGGTTCCCAAGCACTCTCTGGATGTGAATTATTTAAGCCTCACTCTGGTCCTTGGAGTACAAGAAGGCGTTGAGCTGAAACTGCCTCTGACAATGGAAAGCAGGAATGGGAGAAGAGAAGGAAAGAAAAGGGGAGGCTCCAGCTCTGACCATTCATGCTCTCTGTCTCACACCCTCTCATCCTTCCAGCTCTGCTTGTTTGCCTGTCACAACAGCCAGAGGGAAATGCTGCAACTGCTGCAGACACAGTTTGATCATAATCAGAAATCAACAGCAGGCAGGACCTGTTGTGTCTCGGAGACAATGCGCGGGGTTTGCGAGTGCCACGCATGTAGATGAGGCTGGAAAACCCCACGCCAGTGCAAAGCAGCGGCCGGAGCCAGCGCCGGGGGTTGCCCTGAAGGGAAGGAGAAGCTGAGGGGGAAGGCAGAGTGCCGTGGTGTGCCCGCAAAGGGCTGCTTCCCCAGGCTGGGGAGCATCGGCGGCCGCACACCCGCACGCACACAGGCGCACTCGCTCACACAGGCGCACACACAGCTCCCGGTGCAGCTCCTCGCAGCTCTTTGATTCGCGAGGGAGGAAATAAGACCTCTTAGAGCGGCAGAAGCAGCAGCTGTTGGCAAGATGTGCTGACAAAAATCGGGCAGGGAGAGAGATCTCCAATCGGCTTCGCCGCCTGGGCTGGACCCGCTCCCTGGGAGAGGAGCGGCGGAGGAGAGAGAGAGAAGAATGAGCAGCCCCTCCATCCCCGGGAAGATGGAGGCAAAACCTTTGTTCAACGTGCAGAAGGCTCTGGTGCAGCCCGTGCAGATGTGCATGTTGGATATCCCCCTGAGCGTGCAGGATGATGATGTAAGTAGAAGGCAACTCAGCCGCCAGCCCGCGCTCGGCTCCGGGGACAGGGTGGGTGTGCAAGGGCAGAGAGGTGCTGTGACCCCACCCCGGCACTGTCCGGGGGTGGTGAACTTCTGGTGAAGTTAAAGATGCCAAGAGCTGGCACCGCCTCCAGATGTGACTGTTTCCTCTCTGAAGCGGTGTGTTTTGGAGGCAGACTGTGGCACATATTCAGGGCATCAGAACGAAAGGAAGGGTTTGGGAGGGAGGGAAAGCCTTTCTGTATGGAATAAGACTCGTGTTGTAGCTCGATGCAAAAGGGAGTGTTTGCTGCGTGTCCTGGCTCTGCTGCCCTGGACTGTGGAATGATGGGTGTGAAAACCTGGGAGGCAGCAATCGGCTGCAGAGCTCAGCTCTGCCTCCACACACCTCGGTGGCTGCCCTGCCTGGTGTCACCGTCCCTGGGCATCGCTCCTGCCCTCTCCCTCTGCTGCAGCTGCAGCCAAGCACAGGGTTTGGTCCACGATGCAGAAATTGGTGCTGGTTGCAGCACTGAGGCAGAGGTTTCCCAATGTGGGTCAGAGGATTCCTGCTGAGGGGTCCTCTTGTCACCTTAACCTGCCCCTCACAGAAATACACCACGAATCTGTGTCAGGAAGGATAAAGCCAGTGGAGAACCCAAAACAGGTGCAATGATTTGCAGAGCTGGTGGGTGGTGAGTGGTCAGTGTCCCACCTGTGTGAGGGGTTTGGGTGTGATCCGGGTGCTGTTAAAATTTGAGGCAAAACTTCCTTTGATTTTGGAGCAGGGAAAGCCAATTCTCTTGCTGTGTGTGCTCAGGGTGTGTAGTGTCACTGCAGGAGCCTTAAATCTGGATTTTCTCGGTGGCCATCCATTGATCTGTCACAGTTACTGTTGCCTTCTCTTCAGCATTATCTTTGTGCTTACAGGGGTGAAATGACAGCACAGAAACGAGCCCTCTTCCCGGGGAGGAGGGAGGTCTCTCCTGCAGGGCGGTGTGTTGGATCCCGGCAGGGGTGGGGAGCCCCAGCTCAGCCGCCTGCAAATGTCTCTGCAGGGACAGGGGATTTACAGGGAGCCTCCTATATTTAGAAACACCCCGGGGGCTTTGCCAGGATCCATTGCTGCACTAAGGAGGATACCTGTGAGGGCCACTGCAGAGCGGGTGGGTGTGCCGGGGGTGGGCAGCGCAGGTACCTCCTGCAGCCTGTGCGGGAAGGAGGGAGGGCAGCCGGGCGCTGGCAGGTGGCTGGAGCACGGGATGAAGCGGGTGAACCAGTGGCTGGATGCTTTATTCTCCTTTAGCTTGATTTCTAAGCAGCAGATTTCTCAGGGCTTACGCCAGCCGCTATCCGTTCCTGCTCAGCAGTGCAATCTGGTGCTGGATTTCCCTGCGGCCCCTGGTGCAGCGCGGGGGATCCTCAGGGTTTGCCCGACGCAGGTGGAGGCTTCCCTGCTTCCTTCCCTGTGCTGGAGACCTGGGCATCATCTGGGACCGGGCACAGGGAATGCCCCGGCCTGGGTCACTTAGGGACCTCTGTGTGCTTATGGTATTCCTGGATTTTTTGTAGAAAAGAAAAATATTTTTTAAGGAGGTTGTGCAATGTGTTAGTGCTGGTTGGTTTTTATTTTTTTAATTTGGTGTGGTTGGGCTTTTAGCAATACCTACCAACCCTGTGGTGGCTTCTGGGTGACAGCCAGTCCTGGGAGTTGTGTTACATTGAGACACCAGTCAGTAACTGGCACATCAGAGTGTCCCTAGCCCTCAGGTCATCACTGGGGTGTTAGAGCAGGACAGAAAAGGTTAGTGCTTTCCTGTGGAAACTCGAACTGCCAGGAGGTCAGACTGGGAGTTGGTCTCCAACATCCCCATTTTCAGGTTTCCCAGCCCTGATCACCTCCCCCAGCTCTGGGTCCACTGGTGCTTTCACCACCTGCCCTCTCCTGCCTTGGGCAGAGCAGGATGAGACCCCAGGAGCGAGCGCTGGCTGGCAGCACTGGTGAGCAGGAGGTGGGTCAGGGACTGCTCTGCCTTTCCATGCTCACACACCAGTGCTTGGAGGCTCCATTTTCCATTCCTGGAAAGCGGGGGCACAGCGGGTCCCACCCCCCCGTGGAGCTGCCAGCTCCGTCTGCTGCGACACACAGGCCGGTGGGGAAGTGCTGAGGGGAAATCCTGAGTGGCATTTCTGTCTGTGGGGTGATGGGGAAACTCCTCTTTCACAGCTGAAAGATTCCCCCAGCCAGGCAGGGTTTGGTGTCTCACACCCACCCCCGTGTGCAGGTCCCTGCTCATCTCCCTGCTGTCTCGTCCCCAGGCTGCGTGGGCAGAGGGGAGGGAGCCGTGCTGGCACTTCCCCCTCTATTTTAGGATTTTCAGGCTCATTAATTTTCTTTCTTCTTGGAGATTGTGCAAGCAGGTTGGGAAAAGTTTGGGGGCTGCATTTCCCGGGGCTCTTGTGCAGGATCCTGTCCATCAGTCTCCATCAGCAGTGGGACCATAGCTGTGGGAAGGCCTGGCTTGAGAACTGGGCTTTCCTAGTGCTGCACATTCATTCACTGAGCACACAGCTGACCCATCTCAGGCTGGGTTCTCAGTGGAGCACGGCTTTGATGTCAGAAAGGAGCAAGGGTGCCAGGCAAAGCCCAGGTTGGGACACCCCAAAAGACATGAGCCTCTGGCTCAAGCCTGTTCTCCCAGAACAGCAACTTTGTTGGGTCAACATCTCATATTCCTGTTATTCAGGAAAACTGCTCTGCCCTTACAATGGACTGGGGCTCCTTTGGGGAATATTTCACCAGCTGGCAGTGGAGCATTAGAGGTGATGGAGAGACATGGGGTGTTCATACCCGTGTTCAGTGGGTGCCCATCCGGAAGGGGGACATATCCCTCAGGCTACTCCCAATGGTGCATGTTGGGCAGAGGACACTGTTTCTGTGTCCCTTGCCGCCTTTCCAAGGGGCTGTCAATCCTCCCTTTCATAATTCAGCCACAGCAGTTGCAAAATGGCCCAGGCTGCCTCTCTTGCTATTACGGGGAGGGATTTCCAAAGGTTTGCTAATAAAAGAGCAACAGTTTCTATATCTGGGAGATGGGGAAATCAATGAAAAGACTGTTGCAAGTGATATAACGGCTTCTTGTGGCATCTCAGACAGTTCCCCACTATGATGGAGCTTTATGGCACGTTGTTTGTCAGCTTAATTGGCAATATCCACTCCCTGCCAGTGGGAGCCCGCAGGGCTGGGAGGGACCGATGTCCCGCAGTGGTGGGATGCTGCTGCCCAGTCCCAGTGCATCCCTCCTGCCTGGTGAGCTGGTTGTGCATCTCAGGGCATCCCAGGCTGATTCCAAGCAGCTGACCCAGCCCTGTGTCATGATGAAAACCGCTGGGAAATCCCCCCTTGTTGCAATGTCCAGCAAATGGCAGCACGGCCGTGGTCTCTCCCAGCACTGCTGTCTCCGACTTGGACACTTAATGCAGCTCTACAGAGTGAGAAGAAAAGAGAAATGATCGTGGGAAGATCTCAGTGTCCTGCTTGGGCACTTGCATCCTCCAGAGCCTGTCCTGGCAGTCGCCTCATCTTTGCCTCTGTCCTTTTTCCTCTGTGGTGTCCCAAGAAGTGCAGTCGGTTTGACTTCAAAGTGGTTAGCAAATATTTTCCACTCCAGCGAGCTAATTAGTTAAATTACATTTCACATGCTAATTTATTCCTCTAATATTATTTTTTTTCCCCAGCATATTGAAATACAGGAGAAGATAAAAGCTTGGTTTGACCTCAGAGCCAGGCTCGGAGGAGCTGGCGATGGGAACAAACGATTAGTTCCCAGGTTTGCTGTGGCACAGGCTTATTCCCTGCTGCATTTGAGACCTCGTTTGGTTGAGCTTTAAGTGTCTTAGCTGACTGCAGCCCAGGTATCCTGGGTGAAACGTTTTCCTCTGGCACACAGAAGAACTTTCAGATCAGCAGTAATGAGCTACTAATTTCCAGCTTCATTGTTCCTGTTTGCAGCACCGGTATCACCTTGGAGTGCTGCGTAAATAACTAATTAATCCTTGCGGGAGTGGGTGGGAATGGTGTTACTTCCCGTGCACCAAGGAGTGAAGGGCTGTGCTTGTTGGATCCCGAGGGATCCAGCTGGCACTCGAGGGTCGTGTCCTGCAGTGGGGATGGTCCACAGCTCTGTGAAGGGGCTGGAATGCACCTTCCTTGGGAAGCTTGGGAGGCTGAATCCTGGTGGCTGGGAGGGAGGTGCTTCCCACATACTGGATCAGGGGGGCTCAGCTCCCCCCTGGGAGCTGCATGTGGGTCACAACTGCAGTGGTGCCCGTGGGCCACAGTGTGAGCTGGGGTCAAAGCCTCTTGTCCTGCTGTGGGACTGGGCTGGGGCAGAGCCACTCGCCATCTCCTGCAGCCCGGCTGGGAAGGCTTTAACTGGGAGTCAAGTGGCTCAAACTGGGAGTCAAGAGGGGCCAGGGAGTAGGTGCTGGTGTCAGTCCCAGTTGAAGCATGAGGTGAAATGACAGTGCTGCCAACGGGCCGGGCTGAATCAAACTCGGTTGTATCAAAGGGTGTTTCTTTTCCACTGCCTGTGTAGGGTAGATGTTATCAAGAGGGAGGAGCTAAAAATGAGCACTAGGACCGTTTCCTGATCACAGTTGCAGTCAAAAACAACAAATCCCTCCATCCCTGCCCCTGGCCAAACTTTCCTTTCCCCTTTGGCGAATTGTCACTCAGTTTCTTTGGAGAAACTATGGGAAAAGAATTCCAGGTAGAATTCTCATCTGCAAGGGCAGTAAGGGAATAATTGGGTGTGATGCCTGAACCATTTCACTGGCTGGAAAGGGATGTGGGAAAGGGTCACTGGTTGCTGCTGTGTTTGGGTCACTGGTACTAAAGCATCTGGAGCCTTCACCTCTTCATGTGCCTGTGTTCATCTGAACAAACAAGTGAAACACAGCCAGGGGAGTGCCAGGCCAGTAATATCAGGGTTACTG